CACACGCACACACACACCCATTCCCACACACCCCCACACACACATGCACACACACGTACACACACACCCACACACACCCACACACACCCCCACCCTCACACCCACACACACCCAACCATCCCCATACCCACACCCACACCACACACACACACACACACACACCCCACACACGGAATTCTTGCCCTCCTGAGGGTTCTGGCATATATACCATAGTGTAGCTTCCAGAGGAATAAGGATGCTCTCTGTCAGCTACACGTACACACACACCCACACACACCCACACACACCCCCACCCTCACACCCACACACACCCAACCATCCCCATACCCACACCCACACCACACACACACACACACACACACCCCACACACGGAATTCTTGCCCTCCTGAGGGTTCTGGCATATATACCATAGTGTAGCTTCCAGAGGAATAAGGATGCTCTCTGTCAGCTATCATAAGGAATACTCATTTCTTAGCTCCCTAAGACTCCATGTCTCAGGGGCTGCAGAGATGACTTAGCGGTTAATAGAACTTGCTGCTCTTGCAGAGGACCCAGGTTCAATTCCCAGTACTCATATGGCAGCTCACAACTCCCTGTAACTCCAGTTCCAGCGATATGCCCTTTTCTGACGTCCACAGGCATTGCATGACAGGGGTGCACCTACCTACATACAGGCATTGTACTCATACACATAAAATAAAAATAATTTTTTTTTGAGAAAAGACTCCATGTCTCAATCTCTTGTACCAGCAAACAAGCACTGGTCCAATTTATGATAGAAGTTGTAGAGATCTAAATATGTTAGTATTTACTGACCAGTAAAACCAGCCCCAATGGAAGCATGAACATGTAGCTCAAGCAAACACATTGATAATGAACTGAAAAGACGTGTTTATCAGGATTAGGTCCCATCTCATATAATGAGAAACCAAATAACAGATCTGATCTTTTAAGAAGATAGAAAAGTTCATTTCTTGTTTCCTTAAACAAGTCATCTTTCAAGGTTCTGGGTCAGACAGCCAGGCTCTTACCTTTAGGGCAACAGATGGCTGTTGAGACACTGGGGAGCAGCAAGTAGGAAAGGTGAGAGACCACATGACCGCCAGGGTCAAAGGTCCAAGGCAGCATACCACCTCCCATTCAGGTGGCTGTCAACAAAAGCTCCTTTTAGCTAGCTGTTGCTCTTCCTCCTCCAGTAGAGCATCAAGAAGGAAGGGAAACAGCCTTTACTAGCAGCATGCAGGGTTCCAGGAACCACGCTGGACTTTGCACATGTTATCTCATTTAGTTGTCGAAATCCTGCAAGGATTGCAGAGCTGAAGGTTAGGTAAGAGGGATGCAGAATTTTCAGATGAGTCTGACCATATGGAGAGGAAGGAAGTTGGAGGTGGAGCTGTGATGTTTACATTGGAAGCCCAGGGCTTCAGGAAGGAAGGAATGAAAACTCCAACCCTTGCTCTCTCAGATTCATGTGCTTCAAACACCTTCTATGTGAATAAGACAGACCTGACTGAGTTGCAGTGACAGAAAGTTATTATGTCCTTAAAATCACTGAGTGTAGAAAAGTGGAGAAATTTAAAAAACAAAACAGGAGGCTGGAGAGATGGCTCAGTGGTTAAGACTGCATACTGCTATTCCAGAAGATCCAAGTTCAGTTCCCAGCACCCACATTGGGTGGCTCACAACCTCCTATGACTCCAGCTCTAGGGGATCTAGCACCTTCTTCCAGCCTCCATGGGCACTGTGCTCATACACATACCACATACAGACACACACATAAATAAAATAAATCTTGAAAAAACAGAACATGTCTTAATAGGAAATCTTTTTAAAAATATGAAGACTTAAGGAAAAGAGGAGATTGCTCAGCTTTTAAAATACTCCCTGCAAGCCCAAGGATGTGAATTCAATCCGCATAACCCATGTTTTTTTTTTAAAAAATGGGTGTGTGGGGGGGTGGTGGCTGGAGAGATGGCTCAGAGGTTAAGAATGACTGTTCTTGCAAAAGACCTGGGTTTGAATCCCAGCACTTACATGGCAGCTAACAACTGTTTAACTCCAGTTTCAGGGGATCCAACAGCCTCTTCTGTCCTCCACGGGCATTGCACAACACAGGTGCACTTACCTACATGCAGGCAATGCCCACATACACATAAACTAAAAATAATAAAAAGTTTTTTAAAATGGATGTGCGGGCTAGAGAGCTAGCTCGGCCATTAAGAGCACTGGCTACTCTTGCAGAGGACTCAAGTTTGGTTCCCAGCACCCACATGGTGGCTAATAACCATTCACAACTCTAGTTCCAGTCTGATGCCCTCTTCTGGCTTCCATTGGCATTGCACACGTGTGGTACACTTACATACATGTGGGCAAAACACTCATACACATAAAATAAAAATAACTAAATAAAAGTAAAGTTCAAAATGTGGCAAAACCAGACTGTATTGCTTAGGAATTGTGGAAGTTGTCAGAATCAAAATGAAACCATTTTTGTCAGACCTTTGCCAAAGAAATAAAGCCAGTAGGTTATGAAAAGGGAATCCTGTGCATATATGCTTGATAATAACTATTACAAAAGATTGTTCCAGAACCAGAGCCTCCCATAAAGAAGAGTTCTACAAGGACATCTGCCCAGTGGTACTCATGCCTGGACTGTTACCAACTTTGAACATCCTTGATGTGTGCGTGTGCGTGTGTGTGTGTGCGTATGTGTTTTATTTTTATTTGAGATAAAATCTCACTGTGTTTCCCAGTCTGATCTCAAAAGATCCTCTTGCCTTGAGGTTTCTGACTGCTGGGAGTAAAGGTGTGCCAACAAGCCAGGATCAGTACTTTTAGGAAGGCAACAGGAGGAAAGAGAAGAAGGTGAGGGGAGGAGAGAAAGAAGCAGGAGAATCAGGAATTCAAGTGAAGGGGAAATCGGTGGAAACTCTACCAGCTGGGGTGGTCTCAGGGTTTCTAAGTTGGCAACAGAGGGTCCAAGGGTCAGGTGTTGCCTACAAGTGTGACCCCTGAGCTTGGAGTGTTGGGAGCACACCTGAAAGAGATTTCAAAAACTCTATGATCTGAAAGCCACTATACTCATCTGAGCTTTGTTTCTTCACCTTTTATTTAGTTATTGTATATTTTATTACATTCATTATTTATTGTGGAGCATGCATGTGGAGGTCAGAGGGCAACTTGGGGAGTCAATTCTCTCCTTCTACCATGTGGGTTGGCAGCAAGCGCCTTTACCTGCTGAGCCATCTCACCAGTCCTAATTTGATTTGTAAGATAGGGAGTCATGTGTCCCAGAGTCTCATGTAACCCAGGCTGTCCTTGAGCTTGCTCTGTAGCTGAGGATGACCTTGGACTTCTGATCCTCCTGCTTCTACCTCTCCAGTGCTAGGATTATAAGTATGTACCACCACACCCACTTTATGTGGTGCTGGGGATCAAACCCAGGCCTTCCTGCGCACTAGGCAAGCACACTACCAAGTGAATGACAACTCATCCCCATTCCTTCGTTTTTAGATCAGAAGCCCTTGCTGAATCCCCTAAGACTCTCTCTTGTGAATTCAGGGTTTTGCTTAGCTGTCACTCCTCCAGGAAGCCCCACCCCACACCTCCTCTTGAAAATAGCACCTGCTTTCATTCACTTTCCTTTTATTTTTCTTCATAGTACTTATTAACAGTGGTGTTTTCCACTAAAAAGAAGTCAAATATGTATTTATTTTCACATGAGAGTTGGGATTTTTGCTTGCTTTACCAATGTCTTCCTGAAACAGTGTCTGGCACAGCGTACATATTCTGTAAATGTCTGCAATGATTATGTAGGGGAATGCTTCTGTGACTGTTGCTTCTTCTCTGCCCTTTCAGAAAATTCACCTCACATTTCTTGGAGCTGGATTCAAACAGCCCCCTGTCCTGTTCTTGTACCCTCCAACCTGGGACCAAGACAGCACCCTCCCCTCATC